CTGAATGAGAACGTATTCGAATATTTGTACTATGTTCATTATCAGTTATATGATTATGATTATAACAACTATTTCGTTGTTTTTTTGTATTTGTTGATGATTCTTCATAAACAGAATCACATTTAATAGCTGTTGATATATGTGCTTGAATACGACGAAGAAAACGTGTAGCATCTGTTGCACTACGACTTCGTGTTAATGTACGTTTTGGATCAACAATAAAACGTTGAATAAAATGAACAAGCCACCAACGAGTTGACTTTAAGAAAAAAACAAAATGTAAAAATAAAAAGTAAGATGTAATGTAAAAATCTTGGTACAAAAAATATCAAACTCTATTAAATCATATTGGGAATTTCTAAACGACACAATTGATTTTTGTTAAAAGGAGTAATATCTGTAGTACAAATTTTGTACTAAAAATAATTTCTGATAAGGAATAGTTAAAAAACCGAATATCGGTGAAAAATCGTTCTCGTAACTTCATTTTCTATTAAATTTTTAACATCACACGTAGAATGAACAAATACATTTAATAATAATTTTTGCAGTGTAGAGAGTGCTCGTTTCAATAGTTCTTATAGAGGATTGGCATGAAACTTTATTGAAGGTTGCCTACATCAATTATCTCTATCAACAGATGGAATAGTACAAAAACTTGTCAGTTTAGTGTCGGTATGGATTTCAGATCGATCTCATCTTGGATATATTAGAAGGTAAAATTACTGTTGATTTTTATATCAAAATATAGGTTCTTCCGAAAGAGACTGTATAATTTGATCGTTCTTACTACTTGGTCATTTTACAATAATATAAAAATATATTTTTTAAATTATTTTCTTTTCTGCTAAGTTTCTATGATGTGATATATTTTTAAAAACTAACCATTTGTGTATAAATCATTGCATGCTTCAGTAGTCACATTGTCTAGTTATAAATATAATGTTGAAGTATGTGAACGGTCAAGTTATAATCTTGATTTTAACGCTATTGAGCTGGTATAAAACATTATGAAACAGAAACTTAAAATAACGAATTTAAAATTACAAGATGAACAAGAGAAGGCGACCGATGAAGCATACAATGACCTATCAACGCTTAGTATCTTCATGTTGAACTTTTAATTATATTAAGTGTCTATTCTTGCCCTATTCATATCTATGCTGATAAAAGTATTCCATACATAAACAATATGTTTTATATCAAAAATACGATTCGCAATAGTTTTGTCGCTGGTAGAAAGCTGATATCGATAAATTTTCAAGTTGCTGATAGAAAATTTATAGTTAGAACATGCCTCTTTTTTACAAAAAAAAAATCATTTATTTTCAAGTTGACCATATGGTCTAAATTAGTTTAAATTTTTACCAAGACTTTTGTATCGCATGTTAAATAAAATAATAAAAACAAAAAACATTGTCACTTACATCAACACGAATATTAACTCGATTATGATAATTAGTCGAACGAGATTTACGATTATCCGAAATTCCATTTTTACTAAAAAAAAACAAATTTAGAATTGACTTTGTTTATACTCAACACTTACGATGATATTTGTAAATTCTTTTTATTTCCACCACCACCATAATCATCATCTGTACGATTTTCATTCATATTTGAATGCCCATTCTGTTTTATAGTTAATTTATCCATAGCCATATGAATTTGTTTTAGTTTTAATTGTTGATAATTATTATTTGATAATGATTGACATGCATAAGATTCTACAATCATTGTTTTTAATTACTAGATTAATAAACATCTAAATGAATAAATGATGTAAAATTATTTTTTGTTTTGTTTTTTTATTTTTTTCAATAAAATAAAAGTCTCAGTTTAATTGGCCAATAGTTATCCCACGAAGAATAGAATAATCAATTGAAATTTCTTTTCATAAGCTAACCGAAAATTAATCTTTCAATAATTATTTATTCTTTGTGTACATCCAACATTCTCAGATGTTTTCAAGACCCCTGCTTTATCATCATTGACTTTTATGAATATTACTCTTTTTTTCTTTTTTATGATAATCCGTACTTACTTGATAACAATACAATTCTGTTTTATTCAAGAGCTCATAAAAAAAGAAATAACTGTGTATTTCTTTCACATATACATACTATCTGAAATAAATAAGAGAACGAAAGATGTTAAATGATGGCACATTGTATAATACGAATCGAAAAGAGAAAGACAAAAAAAAGTATCTTTAAGCTTTAAATAAACATTGTTGTTAAACACGGTATATACGTAGGTGAAGAAATAGAACGGAGAGCGAACGACTAATATCAATACGACTATAATTTTGTCAATATTAGATGTCAATGGATTATTCAACTGAGAAAACCGATTTGGATGTTTGTTGAAGTTTTGTTTTTGTAATGTCAATCGACGAAAGAAATTTTGTGACTCATACTGAAACGAATTTCTATATATGAGCTAATATGATGAAATATAATAATGAAATATCTCTTGTTAAAGTGTGATATTTAGAAACAAAAAACAATCGAGGAATAAGACTTAATATGATTTTGACTCGAATTGAAGAGAAATATTTGTTTCTAGTTCATCAATCGAGTAGAGAAAATATGAATCTTGAACGAGGAAATATATTAGAGTAATGTAATTTCTTTTTTGGATGTGCGCGTATGCTGTCATTGGTGCCTAGATCATATCTTGATTTAGTCAAGTGTAATAATAAAATTGCTGTCGGAGCTCAAGGAGATATTTATGATAAAAATAAAACTTTCTCCAAAGAAAGAATAGACACTCTATAGTTCTTGTTTTACAGTTACACAGATCTATTTAAAAGAAAATCAGAAACAAATAACTGACTTACATCATTAAAAATAAAAATAATCTCGAGATTTTCAAAAAACCAATATTTTAACAAACTTATATTCATGAACAACAAAGGACATTTGACATCAACCAATCACTACGAACAAATAATCATTGAACTATTCACACTATTCACATATTTTCTATTGGATAGAAAGAAAATACAAAAGTTGTTTACCTTAAAATCTTTAAAAATTGGATGGCGCTAGTTATCGATTTAAAAAAAAATCTTATTTCAAAGGTTATACATATATATCGCTTTATTTTTCTACTGATTGGCGTTCTTTGTATAATCTATTATCTAACAACATATAGATGCATTATTTCATTTTGTTATTTTAAATATGGATGAAAATAATTCTTATTCATTATTATCTCAACAAAATATAAATGAAAATGATGAAGAAGAAGATGATGATGATATTATGACACCACAGGAACTTTTTCAACGTTTACAACAAGCATGGTTAAATGAAAAATATTCGCCTGTATTACTTAAACATGAAAATCTTCTTGTTCTAGCAACATTTGAATTACTTGATGATATTGAAAAACGTTTGAAAACAAGTGAACATAAAAATACATCATTTCGTTGGTTAATGCATAGAACAGAATATAATCGTCTTTATTTTATATTATGTTCATATATTCGAACACGTTGTTTTAAAATTGAAGAATATCCATCAGCAGCATTAAGTTCAGAAGAACTTTTATCACCTGAAGAATGTGTTTATGCACATACATATTTAAATAATATAAAACAACATTTAAAAAAAAGTGTTCTATCTGAATTAAAATCTGAACAACAACAACAACAGCAACAAAGTGATGATAATACATTAATACAACTTTTACCTAAACCAAATTTAAATGAATTTGTATTTTTTCAAGCTGATAAGCCAGTTAATGGGTTAATTTTATCAAATGAACTAAATAATAATGGTGCTGCAAATGATATTATTGATTTAAAAAATGATGATCAATATATTATGCAATTTAAACATATACATAAACTATTATTAGAAAAACAAATTCATCTTGTCTAGTTTGATAGTTTGAAAATAAAAAAAAAGACTTTTCTTTTTCTTTCTTTATTCAATTTTCATTTTTGATACAATCAATCGTACTATCTATGGAAAAAATCCATCTTAGTTGAGTGATATTATTTTTCTAGGTACTTACGAAGGAACTATACCAAGTATAATTCGCTGTTTGAACTCACAAGGAGATATTGATAAGACTAGAAAAATTCTAAAAGGGTTGATGCTCATCATTGCCTCCTGGAGCCGAGTTATGACCATTTCACTGGATTTTCGATCTAGAATTATGTCCATAGATAAATAGATCTAATGACTCTTAGAATGTTCATTTGTCAAGACATTGAATTTCAAACAAATAGTCGATTGTTGCTTTAAAAATCAAATACCTATTTTTGCATCAGGACAGCGGCTCAGTAGGTCAGCTTACACCTCTAGGCATAATTCGACTTCAGAGGCCTATCAACACAAACCATTTTAACACATTCGCGGCGATATGACCCACTGGTGGGTCACACTATATGGTGATCCAGAAATGTCTGTAACGCACAAAAAATGGAATATCTCTGCCATATTTTGGCCAACGGGGTTGATCCTTTTACCGCTAATAAAGGGATGCTCACAGCTCATATTCATATGAGAAATGTTGATAAAAGCTAATTTAAAGTATTGGGATTTTCTTGAATATAAGAAATGGAACTTTTCATGAATTATGAAAAAACAATATTAATATCGCCGCGAATGTGTTAAACTTTGTCTAGTCTTACTGAGACTGAAAACTAATCATCATCGAATACAAAGCTACTAGTCAAAAATTCATTTCAACAGTTATTTGTGTAAATGGAACCAGTTCGACAATCTTATTCTTGAATGATGGATTTCAGAAATATCATTTTTTTATTGTTGGATTTTGTTGCTTTAACTTGACAGCGATAGTACAAAGGAATTACAAACATAAAGCGTGTCTATATTTTAAAAAGAAATTTAGTTTGATGAGCTCTACATTTTTTCAGACTTTCCAAGTGATTAATAACATGATCTTATATTAACATAGTTTAAACAAAAGAATAATTTATTCTATTTCTTTAAGATTTATTTTTGTTGTTTCATAATCATACAATGACGTCACCATTGGATACACTCACTTCAAACAATGTCAAAGATTTGCTTTCTGATAAATATATTCTAATTCTTGGTGATTCAGGTAAATAATTTCTTTTTTTCTTAAGAAATCAATAAACCTTTAGATTTTTTATAGTCGTTAGAGGTTTATATAAAGATCTAATTAAATTTTCAAATGTAGATGATTTCCTTAGTGAAGAAGAACTTCGTGTTAAAGTAAAATAAATTTTTTGTTATCAAAATACAACGGAAACAAAAAGTCATTTTTCAATTCAAAGGGTGAAAAACGTTTCTATGGTGATCGATTAATCAATGGTGGTGTTCAAAAAGGTCTTACAAATGGAATTGATTATGAAGAAGTAAAAATCATGTTCCTATATTTCTTTGGATAAATAAATATTTTGAATAGGTTCGTGAACATATAGCTGGTGGTCTACGCCGTATTCGATTTTATTTTTTGACAAGATGTTATTCATCCTATATGAAAAATGTTATATTTAATGATATTAAAAATCAAGCAATTAAACCAGATATAATTATAATGAATAGTTGTTTATGGGATATATCTCGGTAAGAAATTAATATGATGAATATTCTGTTATATAGTATTTTTTTGTTTTTTGCTTTTAGATATGGAATTCATTCAATGAGATCATATCAACGAAATATTGATCGTATAATGGGTTCATTTCGACAAATGTTACCCGATGCACTTTTTCTATGGCTTTCAGCATTACCTGTTTCAAATTCATCGAATGGTTAGAAAAGTTTTTATTTAAATTTTTTTCTATTTGCTTTTTTGTGTGTTAATCTAAATTCAAGGAGGTGTCATCATATCAAGCGCTGAATATATACGACCAATTCTACCAGGTGAGATTTACAGGTTGATCTAAATACTCACTGAACAGTTTGTGATTGCAAAAAATTTTGATAGAAGTCAAAAAAAGAGCTGCGGTTTTTACTGTTGAACAGGGAAGACCTGACAGACTTTTAAAAAATCAAGATTAAATGAACTGATATATTCAGAATTTAAAATGTTATAGAAACTCCCAAAATCTTCGTTTTTTCGAAAAAATCTTCCTAAAAAAACTTTAAATATTATGTTTCTTCTATTTTGGTGACTTTTGGACCGTCTTGTAAATACTTCGAATGCAAAGTTCAATGCTTCTATGTTTGATTATCTTGTACATGTTTTCATTGGTATTAGGAATGTGGAGTATTAATATAAATACTGAACAGTGTGTCATCGACACAGAATTCACTGAGACACTAACTTATCGAAATATGTCTTCTGTTTGTAGTTGTATTCTCCAACACTTTAGTGAACATTGATGACAGGATGTACTAAATACACAGAGTCGATGACATCGGTGTTCAATAAACTGAAACTGTACATTTTTAATTAGCATGCAATATACAAAAAATTTGCTAATATTTAATCCTTATGCAAAAATACATGAATGCAAAATTATTTTTTGTTTTATTTTCTTAGGTCTTATTCGAGATGGAAATTATTATTGTTCTCAAGTAAATATAGTGTCATTTTTCGTTCAATTCATCTTTTATTTGTCTTAGATGTGTAATATTCATAATGTTCTTTATATTGATGTTCATACTATCTTTTCAAATATGTTACATCTTCGTCAACCAGATGGCATACATTGGTATATTGTTTATTATACATATATATATATATCGAATATTGAAAAAATAATTTTCATTTAGGTGTGCAATTGGTAATCGTATGATAAATGAAATAATATTAAATTATGTCAAAGCTTATTATGATGGTGCTAAAAATTTTAAATGTCTTCGATTACGTGCAGAATTAGGAAATAAAATAAATACATTTAAACAACGTATGAAAGATCATAATAATCATTCGAAAATTAATTATCTTGATCAAGATATATCTGATGATGAAAATGAAAAAGATAAAATAGAAACATCATCAAAGACAATAAATAATAATAATAATAAATCATCAAAATTAAAACGTAAACGAAATAATGATGATAATGAAAAAGAAAATAATCAACATCACCGTAAAGTTATTATAAAATCACCAATAATTAAAAATGAACAACGAACAGTTGTAATGAAAAAATCGATTGATGAAGTCGAAATAAAAAAACAACAAAATTTAATTGACAATCAAACAATTGAATTTAATCATGAATATTGTGATGTTATGTATGATAATGAATTTGAAGGTCTTCATCTTTTACATTTTTCTTCATATGATATTGAATCTCCAGTAAATATCAAAGATTTTCAATTATCAAACAATATTATTCGAATTCAAAATGAACAGATAACAAATAATGATCTTACAGTTGATATTAAACCATCAGAAAGTATTGTAACATCAGGTAAGTTATGCTTTTCTGTCATTGTTATTAGAAATATGTAGGATGTGGATAAGGACTGGAAAATCTTTCTCCGTTAGGCTACGAAGAAAGCTTATTCTGTACACCTCTAGTTGTTATATACATAAGAAGTAAAATAGAAAACAAAACACAAATTTGCATTGGTTAAAACTTCTGATAACAGCATTTTCTTTTCAACTGATACTCATCAATAAAATAGATTAATCGCGATTTATGCTATTGTTATTCTATTGTCTTTTAGTGCCATTAACAATATCAAATAATGAAAAACGAACGATCGATGAACCAGGTAAATCTTTAAAATTCTTATTTTTTTTTTGTTTTTCTTCTTTTGTTTTTTTTTTGTAGATTATATCATTCTTTCATCAGATGATGAAGAGGAAAAAATAACACGTATTGTTCCTTCATCATCTACGACTACTATTTTACCTATTTATTTATTAAATCGTCTTTAGTAATATTGAATAAACATTTCAGAAAGCTTTCATTCCTGATTCTTGTGGTTTTTTGCCTTTGTCCATGTGTATATATGCATATTTACAGATAAATCTCATCTTTACTCTTATGAAAGTCTAATTTTGTTCATTGTTTCTTTTCTTTTTTTTTTGTTTTTCTAAATAGTATTAAACTTGTTTATAAGTAAAAAAAAGCAACAACAACAACAACAAGAAAACAACTGATGTATTCGAATTATTCAGATGCTTTTCGTATTTGTGGTGGATTGTTTTGTTTAACTTTTGTTGGATCATATTTATATGTTGGTACAGCTGAACTTATACCAGCACGACGAAATATGTCATCTAGAGAATAGAATTAAAAAAGAAATTTGATGCAATATTCATGTATATTAATCAAACCTCCTAATTGCTTTCGTTTTTCAACTTCAGCTAATAATTTGCTATTACGATAATCTAAATAGATATTATTAATTTTTTTTTATTGATAAATCTATATCTTACTTTCTCGAAGTCCGGCAAGACCTTTTTTCTTTTTAATTTTTGTATCTACTCTTTTTGGTGGTGGTGCTGGTAAGTGTAACTTTTGTCGAATAGATGGTTGACGTAGTACAACTGATTGAACTAATGATATAACATTTGAAGTTGCCCAATAAAGTGTTAATGCCTATTATTTAAATATTAATTCGTATGAATATTAAAAAAAAAATTAGAATAATTTTACTGATGAAAAATGCACAGTAAAAAACAATGAAAGAAATGGAATCACACGTAATGCATTACGACCAATGGGTCCTAAATTTGCCGTACGCATACCCGTTTCAATACCAAGCTAAATAAGCAGAATGAAAATAAAGATCGCAAATTATTATTTTTGAATGATGTATAGAATACATTACTTCCATGGTAACAAACATTGTAACTGCGGTAAATACTGGTAAAATATAATAAGGATCAGCTACAGTTAAATCTGGAAACCATAACACTCCCCCATACATCATACTTTCAAGAGGATAATTAGCTAAACCACGAATACCAAGGAAAAGTGATATGAAAAACGGCATCTAAATAAATCCTGTGATAAAAAAGTTTTTAAATAGATAAAAAAATTTTACCTGCATAAATGGTCCAATCATTGCTTTCCATGGTTTAATATCAGAATATTTCATAAATTCCATTAGATCACTACCAGCTCTCATGACTAAAATAAAAATTTTTCGTGAAATACGATCTAACAGGAGTATCGAAGTATATGGAATAAATACTTGGACCTCATAGACCATTACCGACACCTTAGCAATAGCTTTTTATATTCAATCAAAATCACTTATAAAAAAACATATTTCTTACTAGCTAATTGATCATTTCGAATACGTGCTTCTTGTAATTTTGCTTGTAATTCTTGTAATCTTGGCATATGTAGTTGCATTTTTCCAGCACTTCGTTGATTATAAATTGCGATAGGTGTTGTCATCGTACGAATAATGAATGTACCTATGTATTTTTTTTATTTATCTATCAATAACAAAACGTTTTAAAAATTTTGTTATTAACTTACCGAGTATAATTGTTGCCCACCATGGTAAACCAACATTAGCATGAATAAAATCAAGACCTTGTTGTACCCAACCAGTTGGTATATACCATTTACCAAGACCAAGTGTTGATAGAGCTGGTTCACCAGCAGCATTGAAAAGAAATTCAATAGGTACATCCGACGGTATAGTTGGTGGTTCAGGTATATAACCGAATTCATCTGCTTCAATTTTTGGATCATCAGATACCGTTGGTATTGGGGATACGATTGTGACAGATTCTGATGTTGGATGAGTAATATTTGCAGGCCATGGATCAATGGTTGCTGACGTTGATGATTTCCAAAATTGCCATGATAAAGAACGTTTTAATACAAGTTGAGATGAATTTATTGGAAATAATCTTGACGAAGAAGAAAAATTTCGAGCAGAACAACAAAGTTTCGGCTATATAAAAGATTATCATTGATAATGAAATATGTAAGTATATAATTTTTACCTGTCTAGATAGACGAACTAATGAAATCGCAAGACGACTACAGTGTCTTAATTCCATCTATAATAGAAACGCATTTTTCTAGACATATATGTTTAACCACTATGAATCGATAATTACTATTAACTGATTAATTTATCTCATATGTAACACAATAGTTTTGCTTTAATTATTATTTCCTTGTAACAATACAAATGAAATTCTTTCAACCACAATCTATTCCATTGAGTATTCATTTACAATTATATATATCACTGGATAACTGAATCAATAGAATACAATTTAACGAGGTTTAAAACTTTGATTAATATTCAAAATGATTTGCGAATATGTCAAATGAGTTATGAGAAAATAGTAATTCTTTTTTTCTGAATAAAACATAAAAGTCATTTTGTGTATAAATCATACGCTAATTTTACTTGTTATATAGGAAAAAGAAAATAACAATGAAAGAAAAAAAAAGAAAAATCATTTTTTAGATGATTGTTTACAACATGGTGCAAGTTCAGGCATACGTTTTGGATATAGAAGACGCATGTTTTTACGTTGTTTACCACGCAGAACACGTAATCGAGCGACTTCTTCTTGAAAATCACGGTGTTCATTTCTAGAAGAATACGTACAATAATTATTTAATTTAATCTTAGAAAAAATAAAACAAAACTTTTACCTAAAAAGACCATGTTCACGTAAACCTTCCATTAATTGATACATTTCTCCATAACGTGGATAATAATTCATTGAAACAAGTGTACCTGATGTGTGTGGACGATCGTCAAGAAAACGAAGAAATTTCTCGTGTTGTTCTTGATGCTGTTTTTTTGAAAATACTATTTTAGGATATTCAGTAAAGATTCGTTGACTTAAACGAATCATTCGCTGAGCATATGCACTCACAGGTGCTGTCATATTAGTTTCTGAAACTGTATTAGATCATAATAATTATTATTTATATGACAAGAAATCAAATCGTTGAAAAATTATTCTCTGCTGTATTCTCAATAAAATAATTTATATTTTATATTTGTAAACAAATAAAAACTCATTGGTTGATCTGTTTCTTCCAATTGTAGTTAACAGCGACGCTCGCGACGAGTTGAGATAAGTTTTGCGCATTCATTTTTATTTAATCTTTACATCAAGAAATAGAATGTAAAACTTTATTTAAAATTCTAATAATAGTACAAAATAATTTTATTGTCATTTATATTGATAGAATATGATATAGATATTGTGCAACAATAAAAATATATAACGAAATAAAGTATTATTAGTAACTTTTTGTTCATATGCATCATGATCTTTTCTTATTTCTTCTTTTCTTTATATGAACAACATCAAAATTTACTTGTATAAAGATTCGTTTGATTTAGCATTAGGACTTGTTTTAGACTAACCGACAAACGTGAAGCAAAAAAAAATTTTCCGAACAGAATTAGGATGAAAGTAAATGTACTTGGACTTTTTCTATTTTTTTCAAGAAAAAATACAAGTATTCATGAGCGATACTTATACTCTGAGAAAAGTACTTGTACTTTAACTTGAAATAAGAACTAGTATCTTTTTGTGTCTTTGAAAAATCCTTCTATTGCGCTGAAATTTTAGCAATTCCTCATAATACTAGAAGAATTACCATGAGTTTCAAATCCTCACAATGTTCAAATTGGCAACTAATGCATGTCTCTTGCCGAACTGTAAAGTTGTGTGTGTTGCTCGCTATATTTAAGTAAAAGTATCAAGTCCTTTTTTCATACTTTAGTGTAAATCCATGGACACGTAGAGACTTAGGCCTATAGTATTTGTACTTGTCCTAACTTTGCTCTGAATTCCATTGATTATTCTTTTCGTCGATTCACTGAGTTGGTTTTGTTTTATAACTTGTCTATATGGAAAAAAAGATCCATTCATTTTATCGAATATAAATGGAAAAATAGTTCTTTTCTTCTTCGTAAGTCAACTTCTTTTCGACTAAGAGTCCATCTTAAGAAGGTTGTTGGTTAACTATTATAACCCAATCAGGAGAATGTCTGCTTGTAGAAAGATAAAAGAACTCTCGAAAATTATTTTCTCAAATACCTGCCAGTGAGCACTTATTGATTACATGATTGGTCAGCTACGTCCATTTCTACTTTCAACGAAATTCTTTTTTCGTAGAGGCAGACATGTCTCTTACATTCATACGAGATATTTTATTTGGTAATTTCGTTACCTTTTTTTCCGAACAGTTCTTCTAATTATCAATTCTATTTTTACCAAATAAAGATTATGTCCATAATAGGTATACACCGAACTGGAACGTTCGGGTTCGATCTTGACTACGATAAATGTATACACGGCGAAATAAATAATCCGAGAACCGAAAGTCTGTAGAAATACTAGAATACCCGATACCGTGCGAACTCGTTGGACAGTTTACGAACCTGAACGCGAACAGTTTGTGCAGAACACTGAGCCAATGTTCGGATTCGGTGCATGCCCAGTCTACACAGTTGGTAATGAAGATGACTTGATGATAATGTATTCTGTTCTATATCTGCAGCACCATTATTAAGAGAAAGGGTTCTTAAGTCTTAGCCTATGCTGTTATAGGTCTTCATCATACTGACGAGGGAAGTCTTCGAAATGATGACATGATTGTCTCTAGAAAAATAAATGACTGCATGTAGCTCATTGTACTGATTCCAAGTATCATAGTTCTGGTGGTTCATATGCTTTTCTAGATTCTATATTATAACGACCAATGCTTTTCTAATAGAGATGTTTTTTTTTTATCAAATACGATATCATATCTGTTTACTATGTGTCATCAAATGAAAAACATCATCGGAAAAACTTTTTTAAAGATATTCTCACCTTTTATGTCATAAACTAAGCTATGTTGTAGCGAGAACTACAATACTTCACAAAATTTATTACAACTGAAGTAATGCAAAAGAAACACATGCAGCAGCTAATGATTATTTTCCTATTTTTTACTGTGAACCTAATTAGTATCATTTTTGCTATTTTCGTTTATAAAGGTGATATTTGAACTATTAATGAAAATGGGAATTGCTAAAGTGTTTAAAATGTAAAGATTTTTTATACTACTTAACTACAATTTACACATTTTGATAGGTTACATCCATTTACACAGCAATTGCCATTTAATAACGATGGTAGAATCTCACTTGCTCTTGGATCGCTATTCGTAAAACTGCATGCATACCATGAATAAAGTATCTTTGTATTTCAATATTGGTGAAGAAAATTGATTGTGAATCAATGCATTTAATTTAATTATATTATTTCTCTCAATCATACTAGTGTTAATTTGAATAAGATTAACACAATGATAAACTTCTTCCGCAAAAGTTTCTAATAATCGATTCAAATATCTGTCTATAGGCTGTATTCTATCAGTTGTTTTAGGTGATATCTGTATATAAATGAACACCAATATCATTTGATTGTAATTTATCATAATCATTCTGGTCATTTTGAGCATTCTAACTATCGAATAACAACAAACAATGTTTACCTATAGATGTTTGGAAAATCTTGTCTCACTAATGTTCTACTAGATTTTAATAATATGTCTGGAAGTCTCTTGTAGGCATCAACACACTAATCCGATTAATTTTCCCCTTAAACTTATCATAAATTGTACGGCGTATAAATGACTTACAGCATTTCTCGTTGTTACTATTAATGCTGTCTCATTTTCATCGTTTATTTTATTGTGACTGATTTTCTACTTTTACATGAAGATATACCGTGATGTCTTTTGAAAATTGATAGTCAATGATTTGATACTGTAGAGTTTTCAGATTTATTTGATTCAGCTGCTTTCAGTATCCACCTTTGTAAATTCACATGATGTACTCATAAATTTTGTTGACATACTTCACAAAATAATTATAAAATGTTTTTCAGATTTTGTGCCGTGTTCTAATAAATATTTTCTAAATTTACTAACATAATTTTTATTTGGTAGAACATTATAACAATGATATATAGATTTTTATGAAATACAACATTCTTTTATTAGATATATTGTTCATCAGCGAATTGAATATCTTTACGCATAAAATCAATTGAATATCTCATTCAATGACGATATTATTTAAAATTTAAATCTCTAAGATCTTCATCTGCTGAAAATGAACTAATTCATGTTGATCTTCATCACTTGATTTATTATAGCCAACTGAACTATTCCTTCATAATATGCAGTGTTGTATCGTCATTATAAGCGGATACACTGAAATCATTTAACAATATCATTGTTTTAAATAACTGTTATGCTAATTCACTTTCAGTTGTTGTCAATATTGTTTGATTTACAACAATATCAGCAGCGAGTATATTTTATATTTATATAAACAAAAGACTACTTACTCTTACATCAGTTCAAAGCTTCGATTCAGTCAACATTAGGAAAAAGTCATTCTTTTTCTAAAGTAATATTAGTTATGAAAATAGAGAAAGAAACTAGTGGAGATTGTGCTTAATAGATCATATATGTGTATCACAAGGAAAAGGAGAGCATGATGCGTGTTCCACATTTCAACGCTAGGTGTTTAAAAATTTCGATATTATTAATTTAACGAATGAACGGAGATGACTGATCAAAAGATAACTAGCGAGTAAATTGCACTATGTGCGTTTCATCATTTTGAAATAAATAAAAAGGTAATATGCACCATTAGAATAATGGAAGTGTAGTCAACTTCGACTTGAATAAAAAGCTATTTGACCAAATGTAAATTAATTTACTAAGATATCGTACTTGGATACATTCTCGATATAGACTACCGAAACGAATAGTAAATCGAGCAGATTTATGTAATTATACATAAAATTCATTCTAACATCATCATGCATGAAAATCAAGTCTAAACTAGTATTCTTGTATACTTACTCTTTCTTTGTTTTACGATGCATCTTCATACTTGACAGTAAAGATCAAAATGTCTTCATAAACAAGTATGTTTCATGATATTTCATTCGGTGACACATAGTAAATGGATTAGATATCTTATTTGATAAAAAAGACACCTCTATTAGAAGAGAATTGGTAGTTATAATATAGAATCTACAAAAGGCATATGAACCGCTAGAATCTTGATATTTAGAATCAGCACAGTGAACTGTATGTACTCATCTATTTTTCGAAGAAAAAGAGAGTCACCATTTTGGTGACTTGCTTTATTAGCTGTCTTCTTCGAATTTAACTACTTGATGAACAGTTGAAATTTTTATATAGTTACCGCAAACAGAAACTTCAAACAGTATCATTGGAGTCTCCCGAATAGTGAAATCATTTAAAAAATTGACTATTCTTTCATACGATATTAGCAAAATTCGGCACACTATTGAATCAACATAGTATTGTAGAACTGTGAGATGTTTGGGTACTATAGAGAAACTATGAAAATATGGTTTTTCTCCTTTATGTTTTCAAAATATTGACCAATTATATACAATTTGAAACAGAACATCTGAATATTCACTTTTGAGTCTGGTCAATGCATATATTCTGAAATGCAAATAAGAAGCACAGCAATTGTTAATGCCTATGCTTTTTATCTAACTACTATCACATCAAGTGTTATTGATTCACATCTTTGAACATTTAAATGAAAGAAATAGTACAATAATGTAATGTAGCTTGGTTGAAATTGATTCGTTTATATTGCACACTGCACAATTGTTAGGACCACCATTATCATATGTACAGATAATATGAATCAATAACTTGATAAATATTCATTTCTAATTCAAAAATGAAATTATTGATTTCATTTAACTTCAAAGCGTTTTTGAAATCAGATACTCCATATATCATCTTCTATATTTTTTGAAAACTGCATTAAAACAAAATTGAAAATAAATAAAACAAAGAATTTTTTTTCGTATTTCTCAGGAAACTTTTTTAAAACTACGTGATATACATTTTGTGCATTTAAAAGCAACAAAAAAGCTTACGACACTCGGTATTCCCAGGCGGTCACCCATCCAAGTACTAACCGAGCCCGACGTTGCTTAACTTCAGTGATCGGACGAGAACTGGTGTATTCAACGTGGTATGGCTGTAAGCATACAACACTGTTTCTTTTATCAACTTTATAGTTCCCTAGACTTGAATCAGTTTTCTATTACTATTCTTATACAAAAAATAAACAAGCATTATTGTGAATCATATATACATAGGATCAAAATCTAATTGTAAGAGCGTAACATAACACACGTTTTGAGTCTGATTGTAGCTTATGGTTATCTTTCGACAAATAAATACTATTTTCTGCTATATAATTTTGTACCATTCTAGAACCTAACTTCTCCATGAGATCAATCACGCCATTAATGGGAAACCTCCGAACATCAGAAAAACATAGCGACTATGACAAAACAAAGGAATCAAATGAAGACCACCAATAATACTGATTTGGTGAAAGAGTTACTTTGTTCATTATTTGCAGTCATCGAAAACATCTTCGATGTGTTTTTCGACAGGATGTTTATAAAAAAAAACATCGGTACCATACACTACAAAGCTCCGAAAATGACAAATGAGAGGTTGTTGAAAAAAAAAGTATTATANAAATGAGACGATTTTAATCAGATTCCTTGATTTTTAATCAATTTTAATCAATTTTAATCAGATCTCTTGCCTTTTATTCGATTATTTTTGATTTTAATCAGTTTTAATCGATTATAATTGATTATTCTTGTTTTAATGGATTTTAATTGATTATTTAATTTTTAATCCTTTTTAATCACGATAACCAAAGAATGCGTAAGCACAGATCGTTGTCATCTCGCGAATTCAGGGATGTCTGACCGAGATTGGTTTGATGCTGTACCTACTATTTGTCGACGCGAGGAGTCAGAAAAGGCAATAAAAAACTATGATTTCTGGACTAGAACTCGAGAAAAACGTAGTTTTTCGTTAATGCGATTAAAACTGATTAAAATCAAGGAATCTGATTAAAATCGTCTTATTTTAATCGATTTTTAATCACAAAAAAATCGATTAAAATCCCGTTTTTTCTTGATTTATTTTTCATGGGATATCGTAAGTAGGAACATCATCCAAGGCCATTATTTTAGATATAATAGGCCGATGAAAAAAAAAACAATGACACATAGTAATTTGTAATTTCTTGTTTATTTTTCTATGGAATTATTTCCAAATTCTAGCTCTCTTTCTAGTTTCTGTCAATGATTAATAGTTATTTACCATGAAAACGCTTGAATTAGTTCATATTAATTCACGTTTTCTAACTGTTAGACAGTCTTTATGTATTTTAAGTAGAATTTATCATAATAACAAAACAATATATATAGAGAATACAATCTAACGAAAGTTTATTATATATATGATAAATGAATTTCTTTTTCATTGATTTATATATAGATGAATATCTATATCTATATTAACCCTTTCATGGCGATATAAATATTGCTTTTTCATAATTTATGAGATTTCATTTCATTTTTTGTGACGATTGTAATAATTAAAAACAATTTTCATCAACGTTTCTCTTGTGAATATGAACTATGAACATTCCTTTATCAGTGATGAAAGAATCAGCTGTTTTGGTCAAAGTATGGCAGAGATATTCAATTTTTTTCTGCGATCAATGAGCTGGGTGTGGGTGTGGCTGTTGATATTGTCTCCACATCCAAACCGTACTCACACCCACCCACACCCGTACCCCGAAATTATCTGAGAAACCTTCACAATAAAACATTCTCAATAAGCCCAGTCGCTATGAAAGTTTTAAGCCAAAATTTGAAAATGAGTTGTCCTTGTGTTTCTGAGAGAGGCCAAGGTATTAACTAAAAGAATACCTTCAAAAATGCACTATATGGGCAACAATAAGTTAAGGATTTAAACGAAGCATATCATCTCGATTCAAATGCAATTAATCGATGATGTTATTATCATTTTCGTAAGGTTTTACACGTACGCAACAAAAAATATCAGAAATAAAGTCGTATCTGACTATTTCTTTGGTAGTATTCTCGAGATGTCATCAGTCTATTCAGTAAATATCTGAGAATAAAATTCATAATTTAAGAAAATTTCGAATGTTCTACGAAATGTTTTTCATAAACAATTTCATTCATTATAACTGACGACAAGCATAGACTGTAATGCCAATCTATTCAGTTATCAGATCTTTTTTAGATATTCAATATTCACTAATAATAGTGAATATAATATATTGGCGAAGTGAGAAAAAGTTTGAAGACGGCGGGGGGGGGGGGATAATATATTCTTCCGATGTTAGGCACTGATCGATCAAATCTTGAGAATGCTGAGCTTTGCCTTTAGTTGTACATATAGGAAAAACAACAACTTTTTATGCAGTTCTTAACGTATTTTCTACAAAAGCTGAAATTTTCGTCTCTCATTGTTAAAATACCAATGAATTTTAATTCTTATAAACATCTATCATCTTCCTTGTGTCTGACTTTCTGTCTTTAATTTTTAAAAATTTTTTTTTTTTTATTACTATAGTTTCATCGAACTTGTAAATGCAAACGGTGAAACAAGTAAAATAGAATAAGAGGGAGAGATATAAAATGAGGAAATACGAAGAAGAACGAATATGAAATTAAAAAAAAACAGAAATCACTGAAACAGAAATAAAAATTGCCAAAAAAAGATGATTAGCATAAAACATTGGATAAAGAAAGACAAAGAACTAGTTTCTCTATAACTTTTACATTTTATGCTACATTACATTGCTTTCAGCTTGATAAATCAGATACTGGATTTGTTTTTTTATTTATTCTTTGAAAAAAAATGATTCTGGAAAACTCCGAAGTCATGACATCTCATGCATATCATAATAAAGAACGAGAAGAAAAGTAGAATAACCCTGTCTTTCAGCTACCTCGCGGTGTAAGATGTTGCATAGAAGCAGATTCAATTAGACCGATATCTTCTCTACAACAATGGCTTAGTTGAGCTTCTCATACACATTAACTAACCGTAAGAGCAGAGGTATGTCACAAAATAGTCAGCACACTATCGAATGGATGACCTGAGACAAATAGCTGTTAGTAATTTGTTCTGAATCATTTCTATGACTAGTGATACTGAGGTTTTCACACAGTACCTTACAGATACGTATTGAAAAATGTAGCTACCCAGATATAGGGGCTTACTAGGGGATCAGACTAGAGCAAGGAGCAGAGAAAAGTCAACTAAAAGCCTTTTCAATTATGACCATATAGTCTGCGAATCTTTTAGAGATTATCTATATTTAATATAACAATATTGTTTCTCCGTTTATTTGATTGTTTTTTTTTATGAATATATCAAAAATAACTGAGACTCAATTCCAATAGAAACTCTCACTTCGAAGCAATCGTTTGATGAACATCAGAAAAAAAATGCAACACTACTTCGCTTTGTTAGTTACTTACATTATCATCTTTATTGTAAAAATTTTCATTTGGACATAAACTCAAACATTGCTGTTGCTGTTCATCAAAACGAAAACCATCTGCACATGATTTACAATCATCTGCTGATGAACCTTAAAACAAAACCAATACTTTAATATTTTTTTCTTACCACAAAAAAAAATCTATTTTTACCTGTACATGTGCGACATATTGGATTACATTGAATACATTTGTTATTTTTTAAATAATAACCATCTGGACATTTGTCAACACATTGATCATTTAATAAATTTAATTTATTATTACATGATAAACAACTTGTTAAATTCATGCATGTCACACACGGATCTTGACATGGTAGACAATGATTATCCATTTGAAAAGTACTATAAAATAAGTTTAAAAAAAATGTTAAATCAATATGCTTTTAACAAATGGTGCAAAAGTCTTTCGCAAAATGTTCAGCACTATCTCAGACTGATGGATACATTTTCATATGAACATTTTTGTTTTTATCAACCAATAGGTTGCTTACTTCTCTTTCCAACAATCTATGATGGCATAATTATTTTTCATTCATAAAAAAGAAGTACCAGCACAACGTATTTATAACTTCGACTGTGATCCCTCTAATAATTCTATAAAAATTACGGTAAATTATTTCAAAAATCAAAACGTTCTACTTAATATTTAAAATTTGAAACCACAAAAGATCACTCTCGAAGTAGTCGTTTGGTCAAAGTATCCAATACGAATTCGAATAATATTGTTAAATTCGTAAACAAATCAGTGCAGTCTAAGTCACCGTAAAATGGCACGACAGTTGTCAATGCACCAGTCAATGATTTCACGTATTCTTCGAAGACGATCATCAGTTGTTATAAGAAAACGTCGAAAAGCTCCGAAAATTGATAGTGAACAGTAACAAATTCAAGTACGACCAGAATTCTGGCAAAGCATATCGAAAATTGTTGCATGGCTGTGATGGAATTGTGAAAGATGAAAAATACTTCAAATTGACGAAAAATAATGTCACAGAGAGTGGCTATTTCTATTCAATCGTTCCAGCTACAACTCTTGCGAAAATCAACTTTCAAAAGAAAGTGAAATTCGAATAAAAAATAATGATTTCGATGGTTATGTCATTGAAAAGAGTTTTGAATGTTTATGTTCATAAAAGCAAACAAGCAGTCGATCAAGAAATATATATAAAAGAATATATTAATAAAAGACTGTTGTCTATTGTTGATAAATATCATGTCGATAGAAATTATCTGTTCTGGTCCCATTTATCAAGGGCACACTATTCAAATATTGCTCAAGAACATTTGACTAATAAGAAAAATCTACCATTGATTTCTCGTTCTGACAATCCACACAACGTATTTCAAGCTCGTCTCATTCAAATTGTATGGACTCGACTTGAACGAAAAATATATGAAAAAAATTACTCTGGTCGAAGAATACGGTGCGTATATATACGTAGCTGTATCTCTCCGTAAATACAGAGCCAGTTATAGGACCGTATTTATGATAGAATAAGACAAAATTACGGCTTTTTATGGGGATCCATAATGGTTAACCCGGGTTGGAAGCAAATAATATTGATTATTTAAAGGGTAAAAGAGCTTGATCGAGAAATGATGCAAGCCATGATGAAGAGTATTTGAAAGAAGCTTTGAGCGATGTAGTAAGACGGACTGTATTCAATTCTCTAAATATAGGTTTTTCAAGGGCTTGTCATGCTCTTTTTAATAGAAAAAAAAATTAGTTTTTCATCTTCTAAAATGGTTGAACTGTGCAAATCAGCATTTTTCCGAAGACTTTTGTATTGATTATTACTATTACTATTATTTCATTTTACCCTGATTGACATGTTGGTAAACATTTTCGACCGTCTATATGAAATCCTTTGATTTCATCACATTGACTGCAATCATTTGCATTAGTACACAGTTTACATCCAATTGGACATGGTAAACAAATATTTGTTTGAATTTCATTTGTCTTCTTTTCACTTTCATATGAACCTGCTGGACATTCATTAACACAATGTCCATCAATAAGAAGTACTTGTGTTATTGGATTACAAGCAATATAATCAGTTGGACTTGCTCCTTTACATAGTGTACATGATGAATAGCATGTACGTATTTCACCTGTTTTACTATCAATATAGTATGTTTTACCAATATGTTTTTCACAAGGATGAATATCAGAAAAATAATCATAACCTATTTTATATGCCAAACATGATGAGTCATTTGATGATGTACAATTAAGACATGTTTCATGGCATGAAAGACATTCAGAAGTACTTTTTGAAAGATAAAATCCTGGTGAACATGACGAAATGCATGTATGATATTGAAGATAAGGAAATTTGCTTGTTTTATCATATAAAATACATTGATAAGATTCATGTCTACTACAAGTTGAACATCGAAAATCACACTATCAACAACTGAAAAAAAAATGTACGTTATTATTTTAAATGAATATTTAATAACAATAAATATAGATTTACTTATTAGTAGTAAAATCAAAGTATTCACCAGATGGACATTCTCGTGCTGATTTTACACAATCAGTATCTGTAAGAGCGTAACCATTTGAACACAATGTACATATATAAGAACTTGTTTCACATGATGCACAATCAGATCTACAACGAACACATTTTCGAAGATTACGATCTTATTAAAGGATAAAATAATATATCATTTAAAATTTTTATTGACTTCATTTTCTTTACCAGTATAATAATTAGTGGGACACGACTCGGAACATATCATTGCATCATGTATAAGAAAGGAACCATATTTACAACTGACACAACTATTTTCACTAGTATTGCGACATGAACCACATCTTGAATGACAAGGTAAACATGATTTATCAGTTTCAGATGGATAAGTACCTTCAGAACATATACTAACACAACGACTAAATATAAAAAACATCATTAAAGCAAAAAGACATAATTTAGAAAAATTTCTTTAAATATTTACTCACAACTTTTCATCCGTTAATGGTTGCTTTATAATGTCGACATGCTGTACAACTTGTGTCATTATTACCACATGGTTCTTTAGGATTTCATTCGACATGACATTAAAATACGCACATGATAGGTATTAGAGTTTTAATAAAAGTTTTCAAGCAACTCATGCTATAAATTTCAAAGAGAACAATACATGAAAATATCTATGCAATTTTCAATTAATTGAAAGAGCAAACTAGAAGATAAGCGTTAATCTAATTACATAACTTTACTTAACACTTATTATTATTATTCAACTCATTTTATCATGTATAAAAATTCTATATGATAATTCAATGAATCCATAGTACAACAGCAAGCTAACTCATTATATTCTTAACATAAAGCTTTTTTTTTAATCTCCTATTGTTTTCTCAATAATAATTAATACTATTTCTGTGTCAATTTTTAGCTTAAAGTTAAATTACAAGCGACTGTTCACTTTATTTAAAGTAGAAAAAATGCTAACGATAGAAAAACAAAATCTATACAGAAGAAAGATCACGTATACTGAGAAGTAACAGAAGATTATTCCTGCTCAACATTGATATGTATAGTAAGATGAAAGCAAGGCATTTCCTATTATAAAGAAGTACAACAATAATGATATTCTCATAGCTAATGAACAAAATGCAAACGCTTATTACTCATATATAACTACAACTAATATATTAACAAAATAGGTTTGTAGAAAATAAATTATTATTACACAGTAAAGACAAATTTAATTAGCAATAATAAAAAATTAATAGAATAAATATAAAACTATGAATAAATAGAGGAAATATCATAAGAAAACGACAACCATAGATGGCTACTTACATTAGATTGATTAGTTTCAGATGACGAACAAGGTGAGACTGGATAATCACGTGTACCATGAACGATAAGTTGCCAAGATATCAACTCAGCTAGAAAAACAAAGACAGTTGTTGATTTCAAACAAACCATCAATATCATTAAATCCAATACATCGTTTTTTAAATTGTTTTCGTAAAGTGAAATTCTATTGTATGCTACCAAGGAAATCTTTGCAAGTTGAAAATCGCTTTTAAGTTCGTATTTTCTACATAAGACAGAGTTCCATAAAGCACTAAAAATATCAAAACAAAAAGGATCTCTGAACAGCCACTACATGATTATAGCCGTTTCACTGTAATTTTGTCCCTTGATAGACAACAGCTATGTAGTGAAGGTCTCAGATTCCCTCTCATTTCTATACTTTTAATATCTTATTGAAGTCTATCTTATGCACCGGGCCCGAACTTCAAAGCAATTTTTAAATTGGCAAGGTTCCGTCGTCAGATTGTTCCTCTGCTATTCATTTCTGATGCTAAAGTGGGTAGACATCTTTCTATATTTTTCTTTGCAGTTCTGTTGGATATTATTAAGAACGATCGATATTAACATTTTAAATGACGATTACTACATGATTCTCCTTTTCTTTCACCTAATTTAATGTACGTACTATGGTTTGCCATAAAACATGCACTTTTCTTCTTCAACTTCATTTATATTCATCGATTCTTTACCTGATCCTCTACCTGTATTACATATTTGGAATTTCCATAGTCCATGAGAATTTTCAAACCACAATTGTACTGTTAAAAAAGCCCAATTGGCAAAACCTTGATCACTGTGATCGTTAGCTCGTCTCTAAGTTAAATATATTAATAACATATCTTATTAAAATAACTATTGATTCTTACTGGTAAAATTGTTGTTTTTGTATTTGATGGTGAGCAAAGATAGATTTCTATTTCTCCTCGATTAGTCGTTGATAAATTTACAAATACTCGTACTGGTTCAATATAATTTACTTGACTTTTTATATCACCACTATTTTTACATACCTTTAAATCAACAGAAAATGTTTCATTTGACTTTTTGACTTTATAGTCTTTTTTGGATTATAAGTCATTGATTCACATGTTGACATAGGTGGAACATTTTCCCAGCCGCTTGCATACCAAGTCATTAAACCAGCATCCATAAGACCAAAACCATATCTACTACTGACTAGAAACGAAGAAAAACAAGTTTTATAAATGAAGATGAAAAAGAAAATAATTGTATCATTCATTCCAGCTGCATTTTGAATAACTTCTGTATTCGATGGAAGGGTATGGGTATGGGTGTGTGTATGTATCATCTGCCACCCAAACTCGCGCCCACACCCACACTCAATCCTAGTATATCACAACGATATCAATCAATACTTGCGCAACAGATTTTGTTTGATCAAAGTCAAGCAATAAAACTTCAAAAAAGCTCTTGAATGCAGACTGTTAATGAATTCCATGAAAGGGCAAATCAAAAAGAGAAAAGGAAGATACAGATCTCTTGTTAGAAAAGATATCTTTTATTTGATGAAAAAAAAACCAAAAAAAAAACGTTAGAACAGAAAAGAAACAAAAAAATCTACTTATTTAAAAATATAATGTTCGTCATCATCCTAGATTAACAATTAATGGTTCATTCAGATGTTCTGCTAAGATTTTTAGAAAACGAACCACCACCGTTGCTTGTTGCCTTAAATATTGATCATTACAGGAAATAAATTCAGTTAAGATTGAATCTATTTCATCACTTGACATTGGATGTTCATCATGCGCCTTTTCAACACGTTGTTTTTTCAACGCATTTATTGATCGTGCTACATCGAAGACGGTCAACTGTGGATCATGTTTTTTGATAAGATCGGTTAAACCTGGAAATTTTTCTTCTCCTTGTAATGAATATATATATTCATCACGTGCAGCTCTTTTCGATAGACCTGATTTGATATATCTAATCATTTTGTTGAGAAGTTGAGATGCTATGTTCCTCATCTGTATCACATTAACGTCACTTTCTATTTGTTCCAATGTCAATACACGAGATTTTAGTACACCAACCCAGGTCGAAAAGTACGGGCCGGTTCCGGCAGGAAAACACCGGAAGTCGCCGGAACTGGGTGCCAGTATTCCGGCCGGAAATTCTCCGTATTTTTTCCGGTGACTTTCCGCCAGCTTCCTGCAGGAAACGGGAGGAAGTTGACCGGAAGTCACCGGAAAAAATACGGAGAATNAACAATATGAAAGGAAATATCTTCAAAAATTCTTACAATCTACTGTCTGGAAACGATTCTCTATTTCTTTGACCCCACACCGCACTCCATAGACGTTGTATTCCTCAAGGATTGCGTTTACTGTACTTTGATAAGACCATAGTACACTTAATGTACGTATCAGTTCATAGGAAACAGACTGCAAGTGCGTAATGTGCACCGTATCAAATCCGCACGGACTGCCCTGAGGATGTTGCTCATTTATTGTATTTATTTCGTGAAAAAGCTTTTCGACTAGAAACAAAATACTGTTTTGAAACAGCAAGAGTCATCTGTTTATCAACTCTTAACATTATAACCATAAGCAACTCGTAAACTTGCTCAAAACTGTCATATATTTTTTATCAATTTATTATAATTTCATCAGCTGATAAAATAAATATAGTTTCACAAAAATACTAGGTCGAGCAAGTCGAGTGGCATTATGTGAGTTTTATTTGATTTTAAATTGAATCTGATATTAAACAGTTGTTCAATGAGCATATAATGATTTCGAGCCAATGATTAATTGTTATCAATCTTATAAAAAATTTTAATCAAATGCTGTATAGGAAGATTTTTTGAAGTAAACAATCATTTATTTTCTATTCTTACTATTTCTTTAATCTTTTCTTTTACTTCCAGTCTTATATGACTTGATAGATGTTTGTAATTATTTTCATATTGTTATGATAATACTTTTTGCTAGATTTTCTAGATAATTTATAGAAAGGATACACAATAGTTTAATGGATGCAGCAGAGAAGAATTGATGATTTCTATGGAACGTATTCTCCTTGCTTGTAAACATCCTACTCTTAGTATGATCGTCTGAATATTTCTTGTTGTACAATTGTGTTAAGTTTGAAAACAAATTATTTCTTATCAACTATTGATATTCAAAATACATGTAGGAATTGAAAATATTCTTCAGTTAATTGTTCTGTCGATCATATCTTAGACGGATATACTTATTGTCATATATATTCAATACCATTTTAAATGATTCATTTCATACGTCTTACTAATAGTTTTCGTGGTCATCATTTTCAATTTGTTATTGATTTGATATTATACGATACATGTCCATTTCTACGTCAGGCAATTACATATGTTCCATGTCTTCAGAAACTTGTGATACAATATGAAAAATTAGTGACTGTTACGAACAATTTTACAAATGATGCAACACGACTCGATTGTAATCAATCCGAACAAAAAAAAATATTTAATGAAGTAATTCTCTATTTTCCTTCTTTGACAAAAAAATGTTGTTAGACAATTATCTATCATTTGAATAAAATACATAAAATTAATATATCTAATTGACATGTTTGATAGAATAGATAAAAATCTATGTATCTGTCACGTTGTTTACTTTAGAAAACCAGCATTTATGAATTTGTCTCTGAGTAATTTTTTCATTGATTTATCTACAAATTATATTTTCTTGTACTTATGCGGCGATCGAGATTGAGATAATGTATTTTCTATGGTGTGAAGTGTCGTTAAAGCATTATGTTATTAATCATAGAAACGATCAACAGTCGTAGCTGCTCATCACATTTCTCAATCGACTGAAACTTGAATGACATCTGGTCTACTTCTGTGATTGGAACTGAAATTTTTAATTTACCCTGTTGCTATTCACTCGTTTTTTTTTCTTGTTCGTATTCGGTTATTCCTAATTTAACATTGTTATTATTATATCTAAAGTAGGTAGAGATGCAGAATCTACCCGTGTGTACACCGGCCGTTCGGAGAAATGTTAAGACATTTATTAGTATCGAGGAAATTGTTTTTATCAAAAATAATGGATGTTATGTAGTGTGCACACCGCACTTCTATTTTCTATCTTTGAGAAATTTAATATTTTATCGAATTTTAGTTCTGATCTCGTTGTATAAAGAATTTGTTATCGGATTTCTTGTTTTCTACGAATAAAAAACAATAAAAGATAGATAATTTTTCGCTCTACATACTTGCCATCTGAGCATGATTCTGAGATTATCAAAAAGTTATCTAATTACAAGTCAGACTCATTCTATAAACTGCTGATTCTCAATCGAAAACAATAGCTCAGATTTGACCAGAACCAGCGTTTTTTTCGGTGTTTCAACATTTTCTGTTTTGAAACTTTCACTCCTAAAGAGACAGGTTCGTTTTTAAATAGTCTATAACATTTTCGCATTTGTACGACAGAGTAGGCATCAATCGTGCGAATTTTTCTTTCAAGCGTAAAATTAGTCGAAAAACGCAGTCGACAGTACATCCGGCACTTACAGTGTGTCATGTGGACGTGACATTTTTTTTGGGAATAAATAATTATTTTGTCTCTAGAATTGTTATTCGTAAGCTTAGTAACCCCCCCCCCCCAGTTTAGAAGCCCCCGGGGGCTTCTAAATTGTCAACCGTTCAAAAATTTTTTAGGGGGCTTCTATTAAGGGAGGGCTACTAATGCGATTTTCGTACAAAAGTTTCAAAAAAAAAACCAGAGAAAATAAAAAAATAAAAGAATAAAAAAAACCAATGACTCGATCTAACGTAAGTGAAAAACTTTTTAATCTGCTGCCCAAAATATCAATTTAGGCTGAAACAGATTTTTTTTTGGTTTCAGTAATTTTTTCAAATTTTCGTTCTTTAAGTTTTTAGCGTTTTTTCTGATTTTTAAGTTTCTAAAATTTTTGAGTTTTTCAAATTTTTAAGTTTTTGGTGATTTTTTTTGATTTTTTCAAATTTTAAATCAACTGATTTTATATCAAGAAAATAAGAGAAATCACAGAAATAAGAAAAATCTGATTTCAGCTGTTTTCTCCTTGTAAGAGAGTCATTATTTCAAGAATCTTGGCTATTTATTTGCGAAAAGTTCAAATAATCTTACGAAAATCTGTGAAATTTTATCTAGAGAGACAAAAAGAAATTTACTATTCAATAAATACAAGCCCAGGGCTTCTAATCCGTTTTCATATCGACCTTTCTTGAGGGGGCTTCTAATATGGGGGGGGCTTCTAAACTGGGAGGGGGTTTACACGATCAAAAGTAGAATCATGATTACATTATATATGGTTCAATGCAGTTTCTTGTGCTAATTTTCCATATGATCTTTTTATTGAATAAAAAGGTTTCTGAGTCAAGAAAAATAGAAAATACTTGAAAAACCTTGAGTTTTTGAAAACTTCCTTGTAAAACCCAAGAACATTTATGCTGATTATAGTAATAAAAGAACTATGGAGGACAGGTTGTGAAGAGGGCACTCATTTGATTCTCAGGAAAGATCAGTAATAATTGAACACTTAGTTTTGTTAATCGGTAGCTGATATTATGCAAATTTATATTATGCATTGTTTTCAATCGTCAGTTCAATGGATCTGTAAAGCAAAAAGATAAATTATATGGATGGTACTATTTTCAAGCTAATTTTTAATTAGTTTATCTTCCATTCTACTTGAATTTTGTATCAAAAAATTAAAACATGATAGATGTTAATATTCCACAGATTAGTTTTCGTACAGCTGACTAAAAGGTTTTTGAGACTTGTGGTTCTTCACAGGAATTGCTGGAAAACTTTTTATTTTTGATCCTGTTCAAATATATATTCATTGATTGAGCCAAACGTAGATTTGTCTGCCATCTCAGATAATCTGTTTGTAAGTTTTGAACCTTCTTTCAGTTTTGATATAAATATTTTTTGACTTCTGTATTCGTTTCGATCGATTATATCATCTATACAGTTAACATAGAAAGCAATGTCGGAAATATTGGGTATGTTGCAGAGCTGTGTTCGAACGTTATTTCATATGATGAACACGATGATGAACTTAATTCCTATTGAAACCTGTTTTTAAAAGAACGCTACAAAACCTTTCAGGATCATTTTTTTGATTTTTTAAGTTCAGCATTTGATAGAAAATTGTACATGATGTATTCAGTCCAAATTTTACATTGCTTCTAATCTCCTAACAGGAGATTTGAAAGATTCTCACTTTGAACAAAACTACAAAATCTTTTATTTATCTCTTTTATTTTCACCGAGATGGATCTTTGTTTTTACACACACACGTATATATCGTTTCAGTAGCACCGACTTCTTTTTTCCCATAATCTGCTTACTAAATATAAATAAAAACAAGCAAAAGAAAAAAAAATAAGATCAGTAAAATATAGTTTCTGTTCTTTATATTCTATTGTATTCTTCTTCATCATTATCATCTTCATTTTGTTGAGGTTCTTCTTCATAAATAGCGTAATCTTGTACTTGATATTGAGCTATTGATTCAATTATAAATTCGGCGAGCAAAATCTTATACCTAATTCAACACATTTCCAATATTTATCTTGACGTTCTTGAACATATGATTGTTCACAAAGAACAACAATCATTTTACTTTGTGCTGTCCATCGTGTTACTTGATCTGTACGTAATTCTTGATTATCCATTAACTAAATATAATCAAATTTTAAAAGGACAGAAAGAAAAGCTTGTCTAGTAATACTAATTACATTCTCAAGTGAAAAATTTCTAGTGGACTATGATTGTTTTTCAAGAGCTATCAGCAGGACATGGTAATCTTTTTTTCCAAAATTCTTACTTTTTAAGGGAAGACTTCAAGATCAAAGTCTTTGTTATGGTCTTGATAAATCTAATATGGTAACAGTCCCGGTCTAAAGAAAACTGTTCCAGAATTTATTCGTATCACACCTAAAAATTCTTCAATGTTTATTCTTGTATTTAGTCCACAAATAGCATTTTTTGGGACATCTCTTTTGATCCCGCACATCTTGAATACGTATTTTTATCTGCACAAAAATCAAGCTTACTCTCACTATTTTTTTCTTTGAAGAAAAAAATTATTCAAAATCATATGTACATTTTGTACACCATTACATTTAAGCATAAATATATGTTTAGAAAATAATGAATGTCTTCGTGGAATAAGACGTGAACGTTGCATACCACCATGATACATTGTTGAACATATTGAATCACCACGTATTTCACAATGTGAAGACATTCATCAATCCAACGTATTAATAAAACAGTTAAATGATGTGCTAATGCATGAACAAGTTTTGATGATAAAGCACAAACAAATGAAATTGTTGTATCATCAGTTAATCAATGTGTTGTTTTTTCATCAATTTCATCTGAATAATGAATATTAAAACTTTGAAGAAATTGATCAAGACGATCCTGATTGAAACAATCGATTCATAACAACAATAATAATAATTGGTTTTTGTTTTCTTTTTCGATTCTTCTTACTATTTGTTCATCAGTTAGGCGAGATGCAGTTATTGAAATTGATTTTTGAGCCAAAATATAATCATCAGCATGACTATCAATTGATCTAGCAGATGAACATGCTTGATTAGACTAAATATATAAAAAACAAAGCAAAAAGGAAAATACATAATTCATATTCTTCATCTATGATCTTACATCGGATGTTGTAGTTGATTCATCTGTAGTTGTTGATGTATTAAACGAAATGATGAGTTAAGCAAATCAATGTTAGTAATAAGAAATACTTAATTAAATATAAAAGATATTTTTTTAGCAATGACTAATTGAGTCTAGATATGTTAAATGCTAATGAAAATAAAAAATGTTAGAATTTAAGCCTTACTTAATTCATCTGAACTATCCAACTGGTAGAATAAAAAGAATAAAGAAAACAAATAATTCAAAATAATATATCTAATTTTCGAGTTGATGATCGATCTATACTTGGAGTTGATATTGTACTTGATATTGTTGTATTATCATTATTATTATTATTTGTATTTATTGATGATAATGTATCTAAATACCATTTTGCTTCTCCGTTATGTTCATTTGTTTTTCCCGATTTTCTTTGTCTACTTGAAAATTTCTATTTATGTTTAGATGATTTTGTTTGACTCATTGAACGTGGAGGCTTTTCAGGTGGTAGTAGTGGTGTTGATGGATTACATTCATCAAAAGGAAAATGAACTAAAGCAAAAAAAAAACAATCATCATTAAAATTCAATTTTTTAATGTCTCTATTCCTCTTCATGCATTATATTAAACGTGTTAAAAAATAGACAAGAAGTTATATTCAGCAAAATAAAATTATAAGCATTTATAATCAAGATATATGATAGAAGCAAATGTTAGAAAAGTTTTTGTTCTATAGATTATTATTAATTAGATTTTTGGTGATATTATTCATTTTAAGAGAAATTCTTATCTTACCATCATAAAACTAAAAATTCATCATTAATACGTTTATTTATAGTAAGATCTCCACTTTCTAGAGAATATATATGATTCATTCCTTAACTCGATTATTTTATTGATAGAAAAACAAACAAAAAAATGCTAAATATATACGTACATGTTAATGTACGATATCGACGCATATTTGGTGTTGCTGGTGTACTATTACTTGAATATGAACGATTATAAGGTGAATTAGATGATGGTATAGGAATAGTTGATGATGAATTATGACATACAGATATTAAATGACGAAAATCTGAAAAAATTTTTTTTTTGTTTTGGAAAAATTTTACTTGTTGGACTACTAATTAAAGTATTAGAATTTGATGAATGATTTGTATTTCCATTAAGTAATGAACGTATAAAACGTCCTGAACGTTTTTGTACTTTTGGCGTTTGATTATTATTTGTTGCCATTAATAAACGTAATTCTAATTCAACAATATGTATTTCACGTTTATGTAATTGTTATTCCCATTTTCCTAATTGTAAACGTTGATGATTTTGTTCTAAAGAACGTTGATACATAGCTTGTTCACGATCACGAATTTTCTATAAAAAGATTTTTTATATAATTAAAATAATGAAAAAATTGTTTATTACTTGTTCTTTTTCTTTTAATTCTTTAAACATATCTTGAATTTCTTCACGCCAATCTTTTTGTAATGATTGATAAAATTCTTCATTTGATTTAATATGATTTATTTCAATAATTTCATTTATTTGTTTAACTAAATCACTAAATGTTGAATGTTTGTCTGGAAGAATTTTCCAATAATCTTTAAAACACAAAAAATGAATTGCAAAATTAAAAATGTAATTTATGACTTGTCATTAATTGAGAAATTTCTTCTGGACATGTACTTGGAGTAGGAAGAGAATATTTATTAGTTGCTATATCAAATGCAACTTCCATTTGATCAAAACTTTTATAAGGTAATTCACCTGTTAAACATTCCCAAAGAAGAACACCAAAACTAAAACAAAATTATATTTAATAGCTCTTTTCTCCTCTTGAAAGTTACCTCAAAACATCTGATTTTGTTGAAAATTCACTGTTACGAATACATTCTGGATTCATCCAAGCAAATGTTCCAGCAGCTGACATATTTGATGATTGTAATTGTTTTCTAGCTAATCCAAAATCTGTTATTTTTAATGTTTTTTTGTAAAAGATCATTATCATTATGAACATCATAAATATGTTCTAAAATAAGAACTACAAAAAAAGAAACAAAGAATTATTTATTTTATGTTTGTGTGTGTTATCAACTATTTGAACATTTTAAATCTCGATGAATAATATGTTCACATGCTTCTTCATGTAAATATTTCATACCATCAGCTATTTGTTTAGCATATTGAATAAGTACATGAGGATAAAGACCTGATTGACGTCTTTGTAAAAGATAACTTAATGCACCACCATGTGCATATTACATAAGATAAAGATTTTTTGTTGAAAATGATGGACTAACACCAAATAATTGTATTGTATTACGATGTTTTATGTTAGAAAAAAGACGTGCTTCACGTAATAAACTATCAATTAAAGTTTGTAATACAGCATCTGATGTCTCATCATTTGTTGTTGTTGGAGTTTATGTTGTACAAAATGATGCAAGAGATTTTGCTGTTTTTATCGCTACATCAATATCACCAAATTTACCATGAAATGCATAACTATAAAAAAGAATATTTTGTAAGTTGATTTTAAAAAAAATGATAGAATTCTTACCCAAAACCACCTACACCAATTGTATCTCCTATTTTTAGATCATTATAATTAATAATATGAAGATTTAGTTGAGAATTAATAACAAAATTAGCTGGAAATACACCAACTGATTCAGAATCAATAAGCCTTCCAGTCCACCATCCACGTGAACCTGAAATTGATTCATCTTTTGATAGAACTTCTAATTTACTACCACGCCTTAAAAAATCAAATTATTAGTTTTTTTCCAATAGAATCTTTTTTTTCCAAACCTTAGTGTAAGTTCATCATCTTCATTTCCAATATAATCGACGATAACATCAAGAATATCGTCACTATTTTCTTTTTTATCATTATTAGTATTATTATTATTAGTTGAAAATAATGAATTGTTCATGTTTGACGACGATATACTAATTGTATTTGTTAGACACATAAATAAGATACAAGAAATTATATGTGGTAAAAATCAGTCAATTTATTTTTTAAGATCATACACATTTCTACGAAATTTTGACTTTTCATAGATATTTTCTATGAATATATATATAATAATGTTGAAATAGAAAATGGTTTATTAGCTCAATTTAATAATGATAGAAAACTTTGGCAACTATTATTTGCACCTGAACGAACAGGTCCACATGAATTGATTGTTTATGCTAAACGAACTAATGATAGGGAATTGAATCTTTCTCTAAGGCAGTCGGTAAGTTTAATCTTGATTTTACTAAACTTCGTCGACCAATGAAATTTTCTATGATTTATACTCAATTTCAAACTAAAAAATATCAAATTTATACACCTATGGATGGTATATTAAAGAAAGATTCTGTTGTTCCTATTCATTGTGTAATTTCCGGCGCAAAAGATGTTAATTTGACAATTGATTCAAATTGGATCAAGAATGAAGGTTATAGAGATCCTATTTTTTAAAAAAAAATCACAGTTGGTTCGACAGAAGTAACTATCTGTGCTAAATGTGGAGAAAAGACAAGTTATGATGGTCTTATCAAATACACTGTTCAATGAATGTTTGTGCTCTTTAAATATGTTTCATTTTAATTTCGACGTGCAGCAGGTGGAGGTTGATGTGTAACAGGTGGAGGACGACATGGATAATGGTTGTGGTAGTACTAAGAAAGAGAATCATGATTAGATTAACTCAATTGTACATAGAGTGTTCAAAAAATTCTCGAAACATTGGTATATCTATGCGGGGAAACGACATTCCATTCATCTCTTTGCACCATATATTGAAGATGGTTGTTATGATATTTCATGGAAAGTTTCATCACTTTAACTCACTCTTGAGATATTATTTCGAAATAAACAATAGGTATGGAAATGATCTCCTTGGCTATTGCTGGCTTTTCATTAAGTTTTTGAGCTCTAAAAAAATTGGAGAAGTTTCTAAGTGTTGAATGGATTTTATGTGATACTATTACTGTGTATTAGACTTAGACTAGCATCATAATGTTGGACCAAAATCATTGTCGAAACGCAGGTCAATCAGAGAAACTAGTCTTGTAAACGACATTTATTGTTAACAATATCAAAAACTATGATACAGGTAAACTTTTTGTCATATTCGAGCCATTTTTTATCATATAGTGCTTTCTATAGTGACTAGTAATATTATTTAGATTACTGATGAATGTTTACATGCATAAACCAAAAAGTTATCAAATGAAAACATATTGTCATGGTTTGGTCCTATGAGTTTTCATCACGATCTTTTTGAGCAACATGCAAAATAACGTCATTATTTACTCTAAAGTGAAAGGAATGATGTTATGGCTAGCTAAATGTAATCAACTCGAGCTAGGCTTTCAGACTATTAGTTGTTGAAATGTATTCAAGATAAACTAGATAATCATCAGCTACAAAAACGTAGCAGAGGTAATAACCAGGAAGGTCAATTCCATTACTATTGTTTATTTCGAAAGAACATCGCAAGAGTGAGTTAAAGTGATGAAACTTTCCATGGAATATCACAACAACTATCTCCATATATGGTACAAAGAGATGGATGAAATGTCGTTTCTCTGTATAGATATACCGATGTCCCGAGAACTTTTTGAACACCCTATGCACAACTTACATTAATACCGCCACTATGATAAACGATTTGCAATACAGTTTCACCTGGATACATCCAACCAGCACAGTTAGAACACATTTTTGTTTGTGTTAAATTGACACAACATCGCTAAACGAAATGAAATACCTATTCTTATACTTCTGTTGTTCTGTATTTACTTACAGTACGTTCACCTAATGCCCGACCTAACGCAAGCTAAATAAAAAAAAATTATGGAGATATTACCTTAATGTATAACTTACATTCATCACGTTGTTGATGAAGAAGCAAAGCAGAAATGTATCACAGATAAAAATATCTAGAAAAAAAAATGCAGAAAAAATATTAAAGAGAAAACACTAAGTTATTGTTCATCAATAATTTTTTTAATTTTTTTGTTTTATTGTTTCTAGTCCTCTTGATAATGGATTAAGAGATTTTAAAGCTTTTTTTTTGTCGTTTTAAAACATCACATCAAAATATTGTATAATAATCTGACAAACAAATTGATTCTTCATTCTAAAATATATTTTTTATATTATTCAAAATGATTATCATCATTGATATTCATTCTTACATATAATAATGTATCATTATGTCAATTACCAAAATGTATATCAAGATAATATTCTGAATAAAATATTTTATTATAATATTTACATAACCATTTATCTTTTGAAATTTTAATTTTATTTATTTTTGTTGATAATAAATATTTCGAATTGGAGCAAAAACATATTCAAGTGGAATAGCAACATGATGTTTTTCATAAATTGGTCCAAGAGTCTTTTTTTATTCAGAAAAAAAGCAAAATTTTGAATTAATTTTAAATAATTAATTATTACTCGTGTAAAATAATCTCGAACAATTCGACTACTTTCATGTGAACATGGTTTATTACAAAGACCAAGTGAGATTTAAAATACAAAATGGTTAAATTGAATATTTTTTTTAAATTTTAACATACAAAAAAATAAAATTATATAAATATTCCTCATATTAGCATTTCTATCTAAAGCATAAAATAATAAAAAATTTATTTGAAAATTTTTTGTTTTACATAACAACAAAAATAAGATCACATTTAAATTAATAATGAGAAAGAAATAAAAGCAATTAGATCTATTGTTCGATGCTTTTTTTTGTCTGTTTATATTAGGAATCAATCGATGATGTTCGTCTTACACGGGTTTCATTGATGATTTAAACGAACGACCTAAAAAATAAAATTTATCAACCAATTTCATCTATATAAACTCAAAAGTCTTAAATAATAACAAAAGAAAAAGAACGGCGGGTTATTCGACTTTTTTTTCTCCGAATAAAAAACAATCATTATGAATGTATTCAAACATCCAGAAACTTTTCTAAATTTGATGTTATTTCTTGTGTATTAATATTTTGCTGATTTTGTGCTTCATCATCGTGAATATTTTGCATACTTGTTATTGATTTTTTTGTTTATCTGTATATTCTAAATAACTAAATATTGTTCCACCAATTAATGATAATGCAATACCAATAACTGTATGTAAATTTATTGATAAACGATCAAATACAAATAAACCAAAAAACACTTGTAAAATACTTTTACGTACATCAACCACACCAAATTTAAAAAAAGTTATTTCGTTTTGTCTTTTTAAGATTATGTTTTATGAAATAAATACCTTGTAGTTAATGCAGCATTCTTCATCGTACACCAAAATGTTGAACGATTAAGTAAACCTCAACCTAATCTTGATGGTAAGAAATACAACCAAAAAGAAAATGTTTTATAACCATCATATGATTGTACAGTTGATAATTCATCAGAAAAAAAGACCATTAAAAAGAATACTATTGATAATGATAATAAACTATTTATATAAAAAACATGAAGATGTTTTATGTTCACTAAATCTTTAAACAATTAGATGATAAAGAGAATGAAATATAACACTAAGACTACCAATTATATATGATTCCATATAAAATGTTAAATCACCCATTGATGTTATTGTAGAACCAAATGTTATAGCAAATACACATAATCCTGTTTTAAAATTAAGTTTTTTTTTTTTTAATACAATTGATGATAAAACAAATGTTAATGTTGGTGTACAACGCTAAAAAAATATGAATAGAAAAAGAAACTAATGATCATAGTTCATATTTTTGGCTGTTAATAACTAACCTTAATTACAACATAAATAGCAACATTAAGTTTCATAAGTGCTTGTAAAGATAAAATTGTACTTAAACTATAAAAAATGGATGGAACAATAAATGCATATACATTATATCATGTTATTATTGGTTTTAAAATAAAATGAATATAAGCAAGAATTTGGAATGAAAGAATAACAAATAAAAGATGAATAAATATAACGAATAAACTATTACAAAAATTCGATATTTTAAAAAGTGCTTTATTAAGAAATACCATAGAAAAAGATAAAAATCCATAGATTAACATTGATGAAATATGCAATATTATTGATGTTCCGTTTTTTTTTCTTTGTTGTATCTTAAAGACAAAACAAAAAATACAAAATATTTAATAAAATATTCTATCATACTTTATTATATAAAATAAATTATACAAAATTTTATTAAATAATTTCAAAATCATTTATTTATTTTTTCATTGTGAAATCTACTTTTTCGTAGATAACTACTGATTATAAACTAATATTGTTCTATCAAGATAAACAAAAAACAGAAAAAATGATAATAATATATAATAAATATCTTGCCTCCTTGTTTATTTCCACATAAAATCAAACATTTTTATTATTATTATTTGATAAAAATCAAACATATAACCATAGGTTTTTAATCTCTCTTTAGTTAATTTTATTCATTATCGTTGCCCATAAATCTTTAATAAACAAAAAAAATTCTTTTAAACAAAAAAAATCACATGATATATATTTTTTTTCAATAGAATTATACAAGAAGAAAAAGAAATGAACAAAAAATGAATTAATAATAAATGATTTTTGTTTTTTTTCCTTATATTTGGACAGTTATGATAGAAATAGAAAATCCTACATTCTTTGATTTTATGTTTTTTTTTCTTCGCTGTCGTTCTTGAATAAATGGATGTTCAAATGATTTGAAAATAACGAAAAGGAAAATGTAGCAGAAGCTAAATATCGAATCGAATGAAAATATATGAGAGGAAAACACACAAAGAAAAATTTCGAAAAAGAAAATATGGAATAGAAAAGATGTCAGCAAATTACGTAATTTTACGTTTTAAACTACTATTGGCTATTATTAAAATTATTTTAAATCATCTTCCTCGCTTTCTATAGTATCTATAATCTAGGATGAGCCATTAATTCAAGATGAAAATGTTCAGTTGGAATATCTAATAATTCATCTTTCTGTTCGTGCTTTATCTTCAACATCATATTGTCATATTACACATGATCGAATAAATTTCTTATCATTCGTTAATAATAATAGAAAATTTTCATTTTATGTGTTTTCTAGTAAACCAATTAGTTTAACTACTTNTTTTTTCGCTATTTTTTTTTTAATTTTCTCTGTCTAACTTAGGATTGATCAACGAGGATGTTTGAATGTTACTCGATTTATTATTCAACACACAAATATATGAGAAAACAAAAATGTATAGGGTGATAGAGAATTTGAAGCTTTATCAGAATGCATAATCACTTTTATAAAAAAATCATTTTCTTTTTACTTATAGCTCAAAAAAATATATCATATACAAGATTTTTCGGAATTGTCAACTGAGATGACTTCATTGTTCCTATATTATTTTTATATTAAATAAATGTAAGAGAGTAAACAAATATATAGAAAGATAGAGAATTTCAAGCGCTATCAGAATATATAATTGCTCTTTCAAAACAATCATTCTACGGTGATGCAAAATCTAAAAAACTTAATTTGATTACAGTGACGAAATCATGTCTGTAGGAATCTGGACATCAGGGTGTCTTCATTATACTCAATTTATGTTGATCATTCAGAATCGAAAACTAAAATACAAATATACAGGTTAGTAGAGAATTTCACGCGCTTTCCGAATATGGTATTATTATTTTAAAAGTATGCTGTTATAGTAATGATATCCCCAAAATACAGTGTCCAACTTTTGCTTTTCGGAGGTATATAAGCACCTGATGATATTCAACTTCCATGCCAAACTAAATATAATAATGTTGAAATAGAAAATGGTTCATTAGCTCAATTTAATAATGATAAAAAACTTTGACAACTATTATTTGCACCTAAACGAATAGGTCCACATGAATTAATTGTTTATGCTAAACGAACTAATGATAGGGAATCTTTCTGGAAGTCAGTCGTTAAGTTTAATCTTGATGTTACTAAACTTCGTCGACCAATGAAATTTCCTATGATTTATACTCAATTTCAAACTAAAAAATGTCAAATTTATACAACTATGGATGGTATGTTAACGAAAGATTCTGTTGTTCCTATTCATTGTGTAATTTCCGGCGCAAAAGATGTTAATTTGACAATTAATTCAAATTGGATCAAGAATGAAGGTTATAGAGATCCTATTTTAGAAAGAAAAATCACAGTTGGTTCGACAGAAGTAACTATCTATGCTAAATGTGGAGACAATACAAGTTATGATAGTCTTATCGAATACACTGTTCAATGAATGTTTGTACTCTTTAAATATGTTTTATTTTAATTTCGACGTGCAGTAGATGGACTTCGACGTGCAGCAGGTGGAGATTGATGTGTAACAGGTGGAGGCCCAGGTCAAGGACGGCCGTAAACGACCGTATACGGAGAAATACGACGATTTACATGGTCATGTATTACGATCGTATATCTCCGTGTCGTATACGGAGAAATACGGTGATATACGGAAAAAAATACGATCGTAAACTGAGATCGTATACGGAGTTCGTATACGATGACGGTGATATACCATCGTAATACGGGACCATGGAATACGGCAAAATACGGTCGTATACGGAGAAAAACGGACCGTACACGACCGTTTATGACCGTTTACAGACTCCGTAAACCGCGACCTGGTGGACGACATGATTAGTGGTTGTGGTAGTACTAAGAAAGAGAATCATGATTAGATCAACTCAATTGTACATAGAGTGTTCAAAAAATTCTCGAAACATTGGTATATCTATACGGAGAAACGACATTCCATTCATCTCTTTGCACCATATATTGAAGATGGTTGTTATGATATTCCATAGAAAGTTTCATTACTTTAACTCACTCTTGATATGTTCTTTCGAAATAAACAATAGGTATGGAAATGATCTCCTTGGTTATTGCTGGCTTTTCATTAAGTTTTTGAGCTCTAAAAAAATTGGAGAAGTTTCTAAGTGTTGAATGAATTTTATGTGATACTATTACTGTGTATCAGACTTAGACTAGCATCACAATGTTGGGCCAAAATCATTGTCGAAACGCAGGCCGATCAGAGAAACTAGCCTTTTAAACGACATTTATTGTTAACAATATCAAAAACTATGATACAGTAAACTTTTTGTCATATTCGAGCTATTTTTTATCATATAGTGCTTTCTATAGTGGCTAGTAATATTATTTAGATTGGTGATAAATGTTTACATGCATAAACCAAAAAGTTATCAAATGAAAACATATTGTCATAGTTTGGTCCTATGAGTTTTCATCACGGTCTTTTTGAGCAACATGCAAAATAACGTCATTATTTACTCTAAAGTGAAAGGAATGATGTTATGGCTAGCCAAATGTAATCACCTCGAGCTAGGCTTTCAGGCTATTAGTTGTTGAAATGTAGTCTAGATAAACTAGATAATCATCAGCTACAAAAACGTAGCAGAGGTAATAACCAGGAAGGTCAATTCCATACCTATTGTTTATTTCAAAAGAACATCGCAAGAGTGAGTTAAAGTGATGAAACTTTTCATGGAATATCACAACAACTATCTCCAATATATGGTGCAAAGATACGGATGAAATGTCGTTTCTCTGTATAGATATACCGATGTCCCGAGAACTTTTTGAACACCCTATGCACAACTTACATTAATGCCGCCACTATGATAAACAATTTTCAATACAGTTTCACCTGGATACATTCAACCAGCACATTCAGAACACATTTTTGTTTGTGTTAAATTGACACAACATCGCTAAAGGAAATGAAATACCTATTCTTATACTTCTGTTGTTCTGTATTTACTTACAGTACGTTCACCTAATGCTCGATCCAACGCAAGCTAAATTAAAAAAATTTATGGAGATGTTACCTTAATGTATAACTTACATTCATCACATTGTTGATGAAGAAGCAAAGCAGAAATGTATCACAGATAAAAAATAATCTAGAAAAAAACATGCAGAAAAAATATTAAAGAGAAAACACTAAGTTATTGTTCATTAATAATTTTTTATTTTTTTGTTTTATTGTTCCTGATCCTCGTGATAATGGATTAAGAGATTTTAAAGCTTTTTTTTGGTCGTTTTAAAACATCACGTCGAAATATTGTATAATAATCTGACAAACAAATTGATTCTTCATTCTAAAATATATTTTTTATATTATTCAAAATGATTATCATCATTGATATTCATTCTTACATATAATAATGTATCATTATGTCAATTACCAAAATGTATATCAAGATAATA